TTTWAWRKAAWTTWAWTATACAAAGCCGAGTGAAACCGGAACAATAATGCATTTCTGAAATTCGTATAAACCAGAACGTAATGCAGTGTGAAACAAAACAAAACAAAGCAGCAGCAGAGGTCCAGGAACTGCAAACTCAATCGATTGCATCGATAGAACTGGTGGCAGTACACTGACGGACATTAAGAGCTCGTTGTATTCGTCAGAGATTGTAAAATCGTCAGCGTACTCTTGTCTGGAAGTTACCTTGGAAGATATTATTAATTTAAAAAATGATCGCAGTGTTTTAATTGTAAATGAACGCTTTCCGACCACGAGAGAGTGCAGATTTTGTGCCTAAATTTTCTGACTTACTCAAATCACTATCGCTAAATCGATGTTCTTACCTCGCCGTGATGGGGGATTTTAATTTTCCCAATATACAATGAGTTGACAGAACAGGCTTTACGAGCTCTTCCACTGATTCCAAGTTTGCGAACTTGATGATGGGACTACTATCTGAGTCAGCAGGTTGAAAATCCAACCACATGCAAAGGAAATAATATAATAGACCTTGCTGGAACAAACCTCCAACCTTTATTCAACCAGATGTATTAACTGACCCTTAGTGAAGCGATAGTGGTCTTCCTTCAGGATTGTCCTGTTATTTTTGAACTTGCAGTAGATGCATGCCTAAAACAAAATTCTACACTACAACGCCTTGATTCAAAAAAGCTGGTTTGTCTTCCTCGAAAGAAGCTCTTATGTAAATGCTACATAGCAATGAGACCATTAAGACTGAAGAGGACTTTGATTCCCTTTCGGAGTTATGGAAGGACTTTGTATTTGCAACCCTGAATAGTTACGTGCCGAAAGCATTTTGTCTGGTTCGACGATAGTGCTTTTTATATAAACAGTTATGGGGATAAATTGAGAATTAACGTCCGACTCCCAGCAGGTTCATTGCTAAATGGTGTTTGTTTTTCCTACTCGAGCCTAGCCCTAGGTAACGAGAGTCTTCATGTGCACTGAGGCAGTCTTTTTTTTCGAAAAACCCGTCAATCTGAAAATTTATAGAGATAAGTCTCTGATATTGTATATATTTTGGGGTACTGGGACACTGCCTGATACCGACCGAAACTGATTTCAAGGTTTGAGAGTATTCTATAGTTCTATACTCCTGACACGTTGGAAGATCTTCTCGGACTTGGATTTTCATTATAAAAAATTTCTTGGTGTGTCTCGTTGGACAATTTATTGTAGCGCACAACTATTTCTATTAAACAACAACAAACATATGAAACATATGTGTGAACTGCGGTTATGAGACGTGTATGAGAACGATCCTTCGCAGTAAAGCACTATTTGAGCAATAGTGAAAATCAGACCTGAAAAAAATTTCAGGCCTGTACGGGATTCGAACCACTGACCTCTGCGATACTAGTGCAGCGCTCTACCAATTGAGCTAACAAGCCAACTGGGAGCAGGCCATCAAATTAATTCGATATAAACCCGTAGATGATAAATCAAACAACAACAAACATATGAAACATATGTGTGAACTGCGGTTATAAGACGTATATGAGAACGATCCTTCGCAGTAAAGCACTATTTGAGCAATAGTGTAAATCAGACCTGAAAAAAATTTCAGGCCTGTACGGGATTCGAACCACTGACCTCTGCGATACTAGTGCAGCGCTCTACCAATTGAGCTAACAAGCCAACTGGGAGCAGGCCATCAAATTAATTCGATATAAACCCGTAGATGATAAATCAAACAACAACAAACACATGAAACATATGTGTGAACTGCGGTTATAAGACGTATATGAGAACGATCCTTCGCAGTAAAGCACTATTTGAGCAATAGTGGAAATCAGACCTGAAAAAAATTTCAGGCCTGTACGGGATTCGAACCACTGACCTCTGCGATACTAGTGCAGCGCAATCTAGCTCATCGCTTAGGTTAGTGTTTACAAGTGAAACGATAGATGAAACGTCACTTTCAAATGTTTTGACCATATAGCACATATTTGAGGGGGTGGGGTAGAGGGGGTGTTACGAAAACGAAGACCTATGACCTAAGACCCGATCTTCGTTTTCGTAGTACGAAAACGAGGACCCCCGGTCTTTTCGTACTACGAAAACGAAGACCCTGTTAACAGAAAACCGTAGAAATTACAAGTTAAACGCACATTAAACAGCAACAACGTTTAGTAATATAATACTTTACACTTCAAGCCTGTTCTGTTTCGCTATGCGAGCCAATTTGGTGTTGATATTCCCGAGAGTTTCCTCGGGTAAACTTACCACACATATTATTCTGGAACAGCAGGCAGAATAGCCGCCTTTGCGCCTTTGATTTCTAGTTAGCATTGCGTGACATAATAACAAAGAACGCATTCTGTACAGTAAATGACTCTTGGGTTCTGTCAATAAATATAATGTCTCCTGTATTTCGTAGCTAAAATAGATTCTGACGGTCGTTAAGCCTTCTCTGCTGGATAATTCTCGTTAAAAAGTAAGCAATTCTTTTTGCTAATGCAGGGTCTTCATTTTCGTATTCTTTTCTATTCGTGAAGCGCAAGATTTACTCTTGGAAGGAATGTCACATGTAGCGCAAATATATCCGTTGCGTTATCAACGTTAAGCAGGCCTGATATCCTCCGTACGCGTGTTGCGTAAAACACTAATAGAAAAGATGACACACACACATCTGAAGACGTCCCTCCAGAGTCTTTTAATTCTCTGATTTCTCGTGGAGGGACCGGCAATAANCGTGGATTACAAAACCCAAGCGAATGAGAGAATGATGACCATCTAAATGCCACAAAGAATTTGGCCATGGGACGAAGTATTTCCTAAGAAAAACAACAATTCCCCACCTCAAGGCTGTATTCGCAAGATCCACCCTTGCTAAACACAGACGAATTCTTCTTTTTTGAATCCTCAGTCCAAGTGACTTGAGGTACATACCCGGCTAGGTATGTTCCGGCCCGGTTGTTAATCCGTGACCGGACCTATTTACTCCCAGGATATCCCGTTCTGAGAATTTTACATTTACGTCAAAACATTGATGAAGGTTTTACTGCTAGAGTTTTGAGATGATTTTCAATATCCTGTAGTGCTTTTGTAAAAGCAGTAGGTAGAGATTTCCACTCGATCCCATTTTGCTCAATGTCAGTTAAGGCAATAGAACTCAAAAGACTAACAGTTCGATCGAGAACTACAGATTGTGCTTGCAAGTCATTGATATCCATTTGATTATTATGTATACACTGCTCTGTTCTTTCGAGCGCTGACGATAAAAATTCAGGTAAGTCTTTTTTCACGTCAAATTCTGGCTCTAAGTCCGCCATGATGCTAGTTTTAACTAGCAACCCATCTTCTTCAGAAAGAGTTCCAAAACTTACCGCGCGAAATAAAGCCTGAAAGTTCTCGTATGCTAGTTATCATTTCCGGTCACTAACCAGAAGCAATTTTGAATGTATCTTTTTTTTCATTGAATTGAAATTGAATTTTACTATTGAATATTGCTACAGTTGGCTTGCCATAGCTATCATGCAAATTTTGCTTGCAAGTCACATGATCTACGAAACGAAGAGCTGGTTCATGTGAGCTGTGGAGAAAATGGAAGGATTTAATTTCTTCCTAATTCTCTGCTTCCTTCTGAACTCAGCATCATTGCATCCAGAAGTAAAACATCTTTTCATGTCTGATTTGGCACCGTATGATTCTCCTCGCGGACCCGAACAAATTCACATTTCTTACGGAGATACTCCGAATGAAATGACTATAATGTGGTCGACCTCAAATAGCCCTTTTTACAGTTACCGGCGCCATATTGGATGTGTAACCGCGCAAACATGATAGCGA